TGCAACATTGCCAACTCCACATGATTTATGAACTATTTTTAAAAGATCACTTGGAATCAGATTACAAAATTTACTCTTATTTGTTCCAAATAAGAATGTGTATGCTTAGCAAAGTCAAATGAATTGGATTGGACTGAGTGTGTGTCAGGCCACACTGAAATGGTAAAGTTTAAGTTTAAAATGGCTAATAATGATTTAAATATCTACTTGATAACAATGATTTTTAAATTTCTGTAGCATAGGAAAAAAACATTCATAGTCCTACAGACATGAGAAGGGGAAAATAAGTGGACATTACAATGGAAAAGACTAGATTGCTTGCAGACATATTAAGAGCAAGAAGTGACTGATGGGGACTTACTCTAGAACACAGGCATCAAGGGCAAAACAAAGCAACATTTTGCAACTACAGGAAAGAAAGGTCTACTGACTCCATAATGTCAGTGAGAAAAGAAGTAGTAACCTGTTTGTGTTAATAAAAATGTCTTGCTCATAAAATATTAGCCTCATACTTCAAGTGTTCAACACAAGTGACATGAAGGGTATTAGAGAGATGCCCTGAAGGGCTCTGTGCCAGTGGTATATATCGTGAGGGCACATTCAGAAATTAGTTTTAGCCTCTGGTGAACAATAAATCTGCCTCAGATCAATAGAAATCAACTCATGAACAAAAAGAAGGGAAGACCCGGATGATATGAAACAAAATTAGATAAAGCCCTGTGAGTAAGGAAATCTGTACAAGGCACCTCCATACCACTCTTCTGACATAGCCTCTCAGCCTGTCTTCTGCCAGGGATTTATTTCTACATGCTGTGTGAGCTCCTAATTCCAAATCTGACTCTACTGTTTCCTTGATACCTGAACGTAGTAGCTATTGATATTTAGACAAGCAAACATCACTGTCCCTTCCTATAATTACTACCATTTTTCCCTTTAGACAAGCAAACATTATTAGCCCTTCCTATAATCACTATCATTAGCACAATGGAGAATTTAAATGAAATAACATGATTCCCACAAAATCTTTCTTTCAAAGCAAGGGTAAACATGTAGAAAAGAAGGTACATTCTCTTTCCTCCCACACATGTCATTTCACATCTTCCTGTGGAAAGGATTCCTATTTTTAATTCTTTATTTTGGCATGCATGTATGCCACTGCAACATATGCATGCACTGCCTTCAGAGTCAGAAGAGGGCGATGGATCCCATAGGGACAGGGTTGAAGGTAGTTGTGAGGTGCCATGTGGATGCTGGTAAGTGAACCCAAATCCTCTGGAAGAGCAACCAGTTTTTTTTTAACCATTTAGTTGTCTCTCCACTTCTCCCTCCATTTTTGTTTTTCTGAATAAATTAGTAGACTTAATAGATTCAAGTAGGAGAATCTATTGTTCAATTTGCTTAAACCTTCAGTCTTATGCCAAGACTCCCAGCTGCCCTGTGTGTGCTAACCCTGATGCTTGAGTTCAGTTTCTGTTATACATTCTTATTTTAAAAAGCATCATGCCTGTATTACTAATTTTTAGAAATCATAATTTATACATGTATGTATGTATACATGTATGTAACCAATCATCAGCCTCAGGTCAAGAAAGTAAATAGCCAACACCTGGACTCCATGTTACCAATTTTGTGTGTGTGTGTGTGTATGTGTGTATGTGTATAATTTTGACTTTTATTCTATGACTTTTCTTCTTTCCTTCCTTAAAATAGTTACATTGCCTTGTGTTACTAAAGAACTAAAGAATATAGTTTAGCTTTTTTTTGCACATTATATAAGTTAAAATATGGGGTAGATAATCTCTAACAACTTCCTTTGCATTGTATGTATATCTGTTGGGTATGTATCTATTGCTAAATTTTTCTGGTGTATGTAGGTGTGTGTGTGTGTGTATGAGAGAGAGAGAGAGAGAGAGAGAGTACAAGCACAATGCATGGATATAAACATGTGCATGGAGTTGTTGTTTGGCCTTATGGTCTGTATTTACTGTTTTCATAATATTTTTAATTGAAATAGAAGTACATCAGTTTCCCCTTTATTTTCCTCTCCTCATTCGCTCCCTGATACTTTCTTTCAAACCCCTATCATTAACCTGTAGTGTCAAGTTGATAGCTTATTTTTCTTTATTATGGTTGTATATGTACGTATAGGTACAATTATGTAAGCATGTATGAATCTATGTAGTTGTAAGGCACAACACACACATTTGTGTTTCTGAATCTATTTTAGTATTACGTCTCTGGCTTTAGGGCTGACAACTCTGCATTGTACAACCACTGAAGTCCCTCATTCCTGGGAAAGGATAGTTCTCTCACATTAGTCATTAGTTAGTTGTCTATTGTTCTTTGTCTAAGATAGGAACCTGTGAAATTTCCATTTGTAGTTACTTTCTTAAATACTTACACAAGCAGCATTTATTATAGCTATTCTGTTTTATGTAAAATGTACATCTATATTCTATTCATTTCTATTACATATTTGTTATCCTTAGTGTAAGCAATAATCATAACTATAAAGCTAGGTCTTTTCATACTTCATGGTTATGGTTTAGAGAAATTTCACTTAAACTTAAATGTAAGAATTTATCTCTTGACAGTATCTTGAATCTTTTTGAATGGTTTAGCCCCCTAAGTATAGGAACAGAAAATTTGTCTGAATGATAGAATATGTTGAGGTCATACATGTAAGAGATCTAGAATGTGGCTCATCCTTTTCTCTTCCAGAGAGGAAAGCCAAAAGAAGTGATAAGAGCCATTCTTTTTATGGAAGTAGTGTCTAGATAAGATTTGGATTTAGAATACTGTTTTTTTTTTCTTTTTTATTTATTCATTTATTTGTCTATTTTTGTTTTGAGATTTTTTTATTGTTTCATTTTTATTATTTGTTTTACTTAAATTAAAACCAATCTTATTGGTGAACTGGAATTGATTTGAGATTTTATAAGTCCTTCCATTACCATCATCTGATAACATGATCCCATACTAACAGTTTAGTTGGTAGCTCCTCAAAATTTTTTTTATTCAAGAATTTTTATTTCCATAATATTTATTTATTTATTGTTCTTTGCTACTTTATTCTTCACCCATTCTGTGTCCCAATTAAGCTCAATTTGCTTTTTATTTATGAAACTTACTTTTCCCATGTCTTTGTTTTCTCACTGTTCAATTATTGTGTTACCAACCCATCCAACAAACATTAATCTTGAGATATGCTGGCCTTTGATGTAAACTGAATTGAAATATGAAACTAAATACAAAACCATTTTAAAATAGGGCCAAGCATGGCAGTACATGCCTTTAATTTCAGCACTAGAATAACAGAGGCAGGAGGATCTCTTCAAGTTCAAGGCTAGACTGATCTATGACGCAAGTTCTAGACTAGCCAGGGCTGCATTGTGAGATCCTGTTTCAAAAATATTTTAAAATAGATGAACATAAGTAAAAGGAAGAAGGCCCTTGGACAATGTGATGCCCTTTGTTATGATTCCATTACTGATGAACTGACTCATATTTCACACATTGATTCTCCTTTGTGAAGAATAGTTCTGCTAGATACACGAAATTATATTTAATAAGTACTCTGTTAAGGTGTTATGCTTGTAGTAGATCATTGGAGCTTTCATTGTTCTGCTGAATAAATATGTTGTCAATCTTATTACAATTTTCTTTCAATATTAACAATAGTTCTTTTATCTGTGAGATTTATTGTTCATTATACCTAGAAAGTTTTCTTCCTTAATCCTTCCATGATTTCCCTTCCCTTGTGCCCTCCTTGCCACACTGCCTTTTTTTCTTTATCAAGGACCAACCCCACAGATGTGTACATTCTAGACCATTCTGCCATGTACTGTACCACTGAGAAATTGAGTTTCACCTTGTGCTCTCCTTTCACCCTCCATCAGTCTCTCCTTTGCCTTCCTTCCATTTTTCAAACTCTGAATAAGATGTAACTTGGGATTCTGTTCTGGCTCTCTTAGCCTCTCTCCATATACCACAGATATTTTTCCTCATCTAGCTGATTTCTTTTCCTTTATTTTCTCAGTTTACTTCCTTCCCCTTTAATTTCATGTCTATTTCATTGACTTAGTTAAACGTTTTGTCTTCTATTTCTCATTTACAGTTGTTTTTGCTTTTATAGTGCTGACCTAAGTTTGACCCCTGGGAGCCATACATGAAAATAAAGAACTACCTCTCACAAGTTTTCCACTGACCCTTGCTTGTCCATTTAGCACATTTTTACACACACACACACACACACACACACACAGAGACATACAAACATGTACATGCACAATAAATAAACAAAAATAAATAAATGAAAATAACTAACAAAGAAGAACTCAGACTGTCAGGTATGTATTTTCTCCCCATACATATAAAGAAAAGTTCTCCACCTTGTTCTGTCTCCTGTAGAAGTGGAACACACAGAAAATCCTTAGTTCTCCTATCCTTCAATGTTCACTTACCACCTTTTAAATCTACTTGTTTGTCTGTCGATTTGTCTTCTATTAACTGTGGACTTAAAAATCAGGTTTTTTTTTTTTTTACTCACTTTATTCACCTAGTCTAAACTCAAACTTTCCACTTCAGAGCTCTGTCATACATTTAAAACTTTTGCCTGATCAAAAAAAAAAAAAAAAAAAAAAAAAAGGGAGAAAAAGAAAGATAGTGGTGGTGTACACCTTTAATCCCCGCACAAAGGAGGCAAAGATAGGCAGATCTCTGTGAGTTTGAGTCTAGTCCAGTCTAGGACAGCCAGGACTGTTACACAGAGAAGCCCTGTCTTGAAATCCAAAAGAGAAAAAAACAAAACTTTTGACTGTTACTTAATATCGCAGTACCTAAATAACACTACTTTTTTCACAGTTTGTCTCAGTACTAACCCAGAAATATGCTAACATCTTGTTCTTCCCCAGCATTTACCTTAGAAATAAGTCTTAAGAAGCTGCAATTAAATATTAAGATGTGATAGGAAATAGAATCTCACTCAATATTGTTTGTAGTTCCAGGTGCAGCATTACATCGCTCAGAGTCTATTAACCCTAGGAAGTTGCAGCCTTTTGAGAAAGTCTATTATATTGCTACTACTATCAGAAGTGAACAGCTTTGTGGACCACCTGGGAGCCATCAATCAGGTATGTGCAACTTGAAGCTATAACTTGTTAACTTGAGCTTAACACAACTATCAGCTTTTGACTTTTTTCTTTATCTTTTTTCTGTCCTTTATTGATGTATTGATTTGGTGCTATTTCACTTGTAGCATTAACTCTAATACATGTGAATATTTTTGCTTAATGGAATTATACAAGGTGCTTCAGCCAGTGGGGGTTTTGTATGTTTGTGGGTATGTATGTATGTTTGTTTGTTTTGTAAATAAACCCATCTTGTCTTCTTCACTGGCACACCTCTACCAACGTTCCATTGTTCTTAGCAAAGGAATGTTTAGATGAATAGACTTAAATATCCCCAATTGTAATATACATTGCAATGGTGAGGGGGCAATGGTGGACCTGAGAGGATCCTAAATAGAGAATGGTCCTTCTACCCAATTGCCTGAGAGAACTTTCTAGCTGAATTTGAAATGCCATTATCAAGCTATACAAACAGGTCTCTGAAGTGGGATAGTGGGCATCAGCATTGCAGAAGCATGCCTGGGAATTCCACTATGCAGCCTAGACTTACCCCCCAGTGCTTCTAGCCTTTTACCTGTACAACCTTTTCATGTTGCCTCTGAAAAACATATAGGAATACAAGCCATTCCCAGATTCTGATCTTGATACCTGATGTTACATGTGTTTACCCTGTAGTTGCTTCATTATTCTTACTATCTCTCTTGTACAATTTAGAAAGACTATTAAAAAAGAAATCAGAGATAAGTTGGCATATTTATGTGAAAGTGAAATAAATTCAATAACTCAAATATATCATAGCTTTAAATTGCCTTTTAGCTAAGTATTTACCTCTGACTTCTCTACATTTAATGGAATGGTCTCAAAACTGTTATTATAGTCTTGTTCAGAGGATGATATGGTAAAATCTAGTCAGAAATTGTTTAGGTGATTCTGAGAAATAAGTTTATAAAGTCACTGTGACAAATCAAAGGAGAAATAAATAAGTCAAGTTGACTATTGCAAAAAGACCAAAATGATGAAATAAATGTCTGGTAGTGTTTGTACAAATTCCAATGTCAAAGAACTGGTCATAGTAGTTTACAAGCTCCCAAAGTACTTCCTGTCAAAGGAACAACTTAAATAAAAATAGATTTGAGTGGTATCAGCAGAGACTAGCAGAGCACAAAGGAACTTGACTGTTACATGTAATAAGATGTTTCCCAGGGATTCTGGGGAAACAAGATAGGTTTGCAACTTAACCAAAGACTGTGTAGAAAGTAAGCTTAATTGAATTGAATTATTTATTTGGAACATGAGGACAAGTTGAGAAGCCAAAATTTCATGTTTTTAGTTTAATTTAATTTTGAAGTAGCATCATTCTTCTTTTCCAGCTCATAGATATGGAACCAAGTCTTAAATCACTTAAGACACTTGGCCATCACTGCAGAAGAACATCTGCAAAAGCCATAATTTAAACTTAGGTGTTCTGTTATGCTACTGTAAGAAAAAGGGGGTTGGAGAGATGGGTTAACAGTTAAGACTACTTATGGTTCTTGCAGAGGACCCAGATTCAGGCTCAAGCAGCCATCAGGAAAAGCACTTGTGTGGACAGAGTTTGCATTTGGCTATGCTGACCTTGAAGAAACATTGAAGTGACCTAAATGTGGGCTGATGGAAATAAGAGACAATATTTGAAAAGAGCTCTTAGCTGATTCACAGTTGGATACCTGTCTTCTAGACAACACTAGAAAAACAAAGTCAGTAACATGCCTTTAATGTCTTCTCTCTAGACATGTAAAACAACAGGGATGTATAACAAATGACCTTTAGGGAAAAAAATGAGTTAATAGAAATAAACCCCAAAGAGTGTCTGAGAAGATGACTCAGTGACTAAAACCAACATATGCTCTTCCAGGGGACCCTGGTTCAAATCCTAGTAACTATAATGCAGCTAAAATGAGGCAGCAAATCCTAAGTGATGCAATAACCTCTTCCACCCACGTAGGGCACTGTACACATGTGATACATAGACACACATGCAAATGTTGGTGCACATAAATAAAATGAAAAAAAGTGATGAAAGGTAATGACATTGTTAGTTATTATAAATGTGTTATGATAGTTTAAAGATATCTATTACAAATATGTTGAGTATCTTAAAGAATATGAGAATGAAAATAAGAAAATGGAAGATTTCAGAAATAATATTGCAAGCAGTATATCTATAAATAAAGCAGTGAAAACCTAAATAAATATAAAAAGAAAGGAATCCTTAGCAGTTAGCTTGATTATTTACATTAATTACATATCCCTTAGTTGCCAGTTTGCAAAATTAACTGAACATATAGAATATTTTAATATCATTTAGCAAGTTAGGCTGTGGTACTTTTGGAATAATATAGGCCACATTATCATCACTTATACTCAACATGGTCATGCAGATAGAAAATCTAAAATCATTTTCTATGGCTAATGATCTGTTAATAATTCCTCATACATAAAGCCAATTGATTTTATACTTAGACTTTAAGATAATTCCATTGGGAAGATTGGGGCAATGCTCATTATGATAATGGGGTACATATTTGAACAGTCTTTGTAAAAAGTTGCTATATTAGTGGTAAGAAAGAACATGAATTATTCAGGACAACAGGAAGGTAGACTGGATAGGATTGCTAATACAAAAAAAACTAACAGTACTGAATTTTTAAATTGTTATTGGGACTGTAAAAAGGCAAACACTTTCTCAGAAAGTTAAACATTCTCCTAAACCACTATTTTGCCACACAATTCAATAACTATGTTTACATTTTAAAAATTTACATGAATGTTAGTTTCATCTTTGTAATATTTTGATATAAATGTCCCCAATAGGCTCTGGTATTTGAACAATTTTAGTTGCCAGCCAGTGATGCTGTTTGGGAAGGTTTAGGTAGTGTGCCCTTGCTGGTGGAAGTATGTCACTAAGGACAGTTTCAGAGTTTAAAGCCTCACACTTCCAGTTTTCTGTGCTTTTTTGCTTTCATTTGAACCTGTGAGCTCTCAGCTACATGATCTTGCCTGCTTTTTCTCCATACCTCTCTGCTATGATGGGCTCTTATCCCTTTGTTCATTGGAGATGGAGTTTTCCTGTTCCACAGCCACTCTCAATCAATTATAAAAGCTCGAGCTATAACTCAGGCTTGTTACTAGCTAAATCTTACACTTAAATTAACCCATATTTCTTATCTATGCTTTGCCACATGGCTGGATGTTACCTCTTTTTTTACACATCCTGCTTTCTTGGCAGCTGGCTGGGGTCTCTCTTGACTCCACCTTCTTCTCCCCAGAGTCCTGTGCTTCTGAATGTTTCACCTATACTTCCTGCCTGGCTATGGTCCTGTCAGCTCTTTATTAGCCAATGAGAGTAATACATACAGTACACAGAAAGATTATTTTCGCAAAAGATAATAGAATTTGAAAGCATTATATTGAGTTAAAAGGGAGAATGAAATATCCAGGAAACAGAAATACTTAAATGTATCAGCTATAAGATTATAGATAATAAACCATTGTACACATCTAACACTCTTCCAGTATACACATGATTAAAAAACTGTCTTCAAAATTTCATAGACTCTAAAGTATTACATGACAAAATATTACTGTTTAAATTTTGTATATTTTATGAGTGAACACCTGTGGCTTTTGCATTATAAATATTTTATATTGAAGAGAAAAATTCCCCTTAAGTATCAGAAATATGTTGATCAAAGATGAAACTCCAAATTTAATTGCATTTTTTCCAGAAATGTTTTTCTCCTTAGATGCAGTTCACAATGCCATCTACTAAGCATGATTTTGGGAACAGTAGCCAAACTATTAAAATGAAAAGTACATTTGGAATATTGATAAGGATCGGAGAGATCTGAATTCTGAGTAGCATATTCATATTCATATTAAATAGTTTAGAGACCTAGTATTTACAAAGTACATAAAATTTCTACAAGATGACAGTCTTAATATTTAGAATAAAAGCATAGTAGGAAACAAGCTCAAAGCTGTGTTGTTTATTCCTTTTAGATATCTGTTTTCTTGTTAATTAAAATAAAACTAAGCAATTTATTAATAAAAGTAGTCATACAATATTCTGAATATAGCATTTTATGCCATTATATAAAGCTAACTATTTTTTTATATATCTGGATAAACTATACCAACAAAATAAGTATTTTAATAAGAGACACTGAGAAAAAAATAATAATAGCCATAAATCTAATCAAGAAACAGCTGGCCAATTTCATATGAGAGTAAAACTATATTCTTTCAAATTTACTAATTATTAATGTTTTAATGATACTGCAGATCTAAGAGCCTTGGCTCAATCACAAGTAAGTTAATTGATCATTTAAAATATCATTTATATCAATCTGCTCAAATAGACAAACTAAAGATTATGGGACCTTGGCATGGGCTTTTGCGTTTTTATTTTATTTTATTTAAAATGACCTAGGAGAAATTTCTGGTGACAAGTCTGATTTATCACACAAGTACATTTCTCCCTTTCCAATATTCCTATGTAAACATCATTCATTGTGTATGAATAGAGCAAGGCTCGAATTTCCCTAAATTCAGAATTAAAATGAAAATATAAAAAAAAATATATAAATCTCTATATTTTCTGAAAGACTGTTTAAAACTGTTTTCCATTGCCCCCCCCAAAGAAATTCATCAGTCAGTTCAATGATCAAAGGAGCTAAATGGTCTCTGGATTGTTCATCACTTACATACTAGGTTGTTTGTTTTATTTTATTTTTACATTTTTTGAGAATGTTATACATGAGTACTATATTTCATCATTCACTACTCCAGTTCTTCCCATGATGTCTCTCTGTTTCTCTAATTCATGACTGCCTCTACTTTTAAAATTATCAGTATTATTATCATTACTATTATTATTAGGGGTGTGTGTGTGTGTGTGTGTGTGTGTGTGTGTGTGTGTGTGTGTGTGTGTGTATGTGTGTGTTGAGCAGCTGTGCATTTCT